CGGCCCCTCCCACCCTCCCTGCCTCCATGTGTGTGTCGGGTGTGGCTCCGCACTGGCTTGCAGGTGCAGCAGATACCAGGCGTGTCTGGTGGGAGTGGCAGACCAACGGCGCACATCCTCATGGCCCGAGTGTGGGTGATGAGTGTGTGAGTGTGTGTGTTTCCAGGAGTGGCTTCTGGACGTCATGCGAGGTGTGCGAGGCCGTACGAGACGCCGTGCTGTGTGTGTGCCATGTCTGCATTGTGTCTCAGGGCAGCGGCGGAGGCACGGCCAGACTGAGGTCCGAGTTGACCCAGCCTCTCCACTCCATAGGCTTTGTTTAGTCCAGCTCCTGGCCGGGCTCGGGGCACAAAGCACAGAGGGCCCTGTCTGTGGGCAGTGGGAACGGGGATCTCAGAACCAAAGCAGAGCCCACAGCTGGGAGGGCTGAGGTGGCCCGTGGTGTCTGGCGAGCAAGCCAGGGCAGCTACAGCAGAGGAACTGACCTAAGCGGAGAGTAAGCAAGGGGGGACAGCACAGGCCAGGGGCGAGAGCACATCTCGCCCACAGACAGCAGCATGCGAGAGCTGGTGTGTCCCAGGGCTCTGGAGGTTCTGAGACTGGGGAATAGAAAGGTAGGATGGGTGGGGCGTGAAGACGACGGAGGGAGCACATGGATGCTGTCCTGCTGTTTATAAGGCCCGCACACAGTGCTAAGTGTTTTAGGGCCCTGTTTCTTTCCTGCACACTTAGGGAAACCCAGGTGCTTCCAGGTGAAGGGGCTCCTCCTAGGTCTCAGGTAGTAAGTGGCAGGTCAGGAAGTTGAACCCGCCAGGCCTGCACGTCTATTCCTCTGCATTGTGCTGTGTTTCTAAAGGCCCTGGCCATGTCCTTGCTGAAGGAATCTGAGAACTGTGTGGAAAGGAGAGACAGGGAGGGGCTGAGGCCAGGGGGATAGATCCCGTGAAGTGGGTTTCAAGGCAGGGAGGCAGGGCCTACAGGTGACCTTGTTCTCCTGTCTGTCCCTTGTAGCCCTGGCAGGTGCCCTGTGCGTTCCTCGCCCTCTGGCTCCCAGGGCCTGCTGGAGGAGATGCTGGCAGCCAGCAGCTCCAAGGCAGCAGCCCACAGGGAGTCGGCGGCCTCGGGCCTCAGGGGCCTGCCTGAAGAGGGAGGAGTTGCCGCAGGCGCTGACCGAGGGGATCATCTGGAGCCCGGCAGGGATCCTCTGCCCTCCTGGAGGCCCCAGCCTGATGGAGAGGCCAGCCGGACGGAAGAAGTGGATGGCACCTGGAGCCCTGCAGGGACTGGGCGGGATGAGCAGGGCTCAGCCCGGACCCCTCGCCGGCCCTCCCAAGGCCCTGCCCCTAGATCCGCAAGTCAGGACTTCTCCTTCATTGAGGTCAGTGAGGGCGAGCCCACGGCAGTGGGTGGGCTGTTGTGGGGGACGTGGACTTTGGAGCCAGAGCCCCATTTCTGAGTTTCCCTGAGCAGTCTCAGTTGGGGGCAGAAAGTGGGTTGTGGGTACTGGTTGACTGGGAAGCTCGGCCGGGTGGGTCAGCATACAGCCAACTGCAGTGGAGGGGCTCCAGTGGGGTGGTCTGGTGATGGCGGTGGTGTTGCCATTGTCCTGAGCAGGACACCGAGGTCCTTGACAGTGCCATGTATCGGAGCCGTGCCAACCTGGGGCGCAAACGTGGGCACCGGGCCCCAGCCATTCGGCCCGGAGGTACCCTGGGCCTGTCAGAGGCAGCCGACTCAGACGCTCGCCTGTTCCAGGACTCCACAGGTAGGGTGCTGTGGTGTTTGATGTCTCTGTCGATGTCTGGGGACCCAGGTGGTGTAGGTTGTGCAGGGGTCCGTGCTAAGACCTCTCCCTGGCCCCCTGCAGAGCCACAAGCATCTCGGGTGCCATCTTCAGATGAGGAGGTGGTGGAGGAGCCTCAGAGCCGCCGCACACGGATGTCCTTGGGCACCAAGGGGCTGAAAGTCAACCTCTTTCCTGGCCTGAGCCCATCGGCCCTGAAGGTACCATCAGATCATTCCCAAACACACAGCCACCTGGCGGGAAGGCCATCTTGTGTCCAGCCCCTTCTCTCCATCCATCTATCGCCCTCGCCCTCTCATTCTGCTCTCTAACAAGGGCCCCAGACGGTCCCTTGGTGCCGGGCCTGTCCCTGTGCTGTGTGCCAAGTGGAAAGAAGAGCAAGCCGTGCGCTTGTCTCAGAACCTCACTGGGCAGGGGTCATGTGAGTCATGCTCACCATCAGCTCAGGGGAAAGCAGAGGTTTAGGTAGCAGCACGCAGGCCTAGGAGAGGAGGAGCCACTTCCTAACACGGGGGTGGAGAGGGTGAGTGTGAAAGGCTTCTTATAAGAGTCTGATTTAAAAAAAATTATTTTATTCAACTTTTATTTATTATTATTATTATTATTATTATTATTATTATTATCCACTTTGATCAAACAGAGAGAGAGAGAGAGGGAGAAAGTGAGAAAGCAAGCCACCAGGTCCAGGACTTGAACCACGGCTGGCCATGTGGGAGTTCATCACCCTTAATCACCACGCCACCTGCTGGCCCGAGAGTCTGATCTTAGTCTGGGCAGGCATGGGGTTGGGTAGGGATGGGGGTAATGGGGAGGCATTGGAGATGGAAGGAACAAAGAAGCCCAGGGCTGGGAAGCCGCCACTGGCTCTGTCCAGCCTAGCTTGTCCGAGTTCAGTCCAGCAGTGCCTTCGTGAGAACTTGCTGCTACAGGCACGGCCGAGCTCCAGGGAAGCTCATTTCTACGCGACTCCTTGTCAAAGGGGAGGAGGACTGCCAAGTAGTCTGTATTTGCTTCTTGAGCTGCCTACCCTAATGCTCTGTTCCTCTAACACTTGTTTGGACCTGGACTTGTTTCTCAGGCCAAGCTGAGGCCCCGGAACCGCTCAGCTGAGGAGGGGGAGCCAGTAGAGAGCAAGCCTGGCCAGAAGGAGTCCATGGTGCAGCGCTCCAAGTCCTGCAAGGTCCCTGGACTGGGGAAGCCCCTTGCATTACCTCCCAAGCCAGAGAAATCCTCAGGGTAGGTGACCTGCACTCCAGGCCTCCTCTGACCTCCCCATGTTAGCCTGAAAAGGGAAACCTGATTTTACAAAAAAAAGGAGACCTAGGCCCAGAGAGGAGACTGACACTGCCTAAATGAACTGTATTAAATTGGTGCCAGAATTTCAGTCCCTGCAGCCAGGCCTCAGACTGCCTTTTCTGGCCAGAGGGGGAGGTTTCCCCTCCCATGTCTCTGCATTGTGTTCAGTTTCCCTAAATTTTGCTTTCTGGACCTCTTCTCTCTGCCTTCTAGGTCAGAAGGATCATCGCCCAACTGGCTACAAGCCCTGAAGCTGAAGAAGAAGAAGGTCTGAGAGGTCTGAGGTGAGGGCAGGTTCCTGAGCCTTGATCTAGACTGGGGTTGAGGCCTGCTCCGGGGCACTTGGGAGGCCCTAGCTCCCCTCCTAGCCTTTTACTCCCATCCCCTTTTCTATGCAAGGCTAGAAACAGGTGAGTGAAGCAAAGCTCCAAACAGTCGGTAGGTCCCTTGGCTCCCCTGAGAGTTTGTCCCTTGGGCAGGATGTTGAGGAGGGCTTCCCTCCCAGCCTGCTCCTTGGTCTCAAGAACAGTCCTCCATGCTCTGTGGGGGGCCTGCGTGTTGTCAGCCAGCTCTGCTGGTCCAAGACTCTGGCCTACTCACCAGGCTCAGGTCTAGCAGGTACTTCATGACATTGGAGAAAGGAAGCGGAAGCCTCCACAGTGCCCTTCCCTGATCTCTTATCCTCCCTCCCTATTGCAGGTCCTTCCCATCTGGCAGTCTCAGGCAGTGCCCGTCCCTGTGGGGTTCCTGGGCGAGGAGATGGCTGGAGCCCCACCATGCCCCAGGCTGCAGCCTCCGCCCCTCTCCAGCTCCGAGGAGGGTCTGGGGAGGCACATTTATGCACTTTGTATACCTTCCCCACTCCCCCCACACCTTTCCTCCCAGCCTGGATTCCGTCACTAGTGGTTGAAGGTTTTGGTCCTTCCCTCGTTCTCTTCCCTCTCTGCTTCCTCCTCCAGCCTCCCTTGGGTTTTCTTTTGATACCAGTTTATAGCATTTTTTATAAAAGTCTTTGATTTTTGTAATGGGTGGAGCTCTATCCCAGCCCCACCTCAGGTCCCTTTCCCCTGCCAGGTGCCCCACAGAAACCAATGACATTTTGCCACAATAAAATTTTTTGGGAATTGGTGCTGTCCAGGCTGTGGTGTGTGGTCATGGCTGCCCATCCCCCGCTGAAAGCTGTCCACGGAAAGTGCTGGTTCTCGCCCTGGTCCCGCAGGAGCTCACTCTGACATTGACATTCCAC